AGAGAGAGAGAGAGAGAGAGAGAGAGAGAGGAGGAGGAAGAGGAGGGTACCCCTGACTCAACGAGTACCCATCTGCATTGAAAGGAATATATCTACCTTACTAGAGATACAGTAATCAGAACATCACACACGGTACATGTATATATTATTGTCTTAAAATAGACATAAAAACCTTGAACATATTTCTCTGACAAGGAGAAATTGAAGGATCGAGGAGGGGTAGACCCTGAGGAACTTTAATGAAGACCTTCAACAGGTTGAAGGGGAAAGAACAGGATAAATGAAACTATTTTGAGAGCATCCGGGCAAAGAAATTAATGGAGACCATAAACGCCGATGTCTCAAATGTCTGTCACAAAATTAATCTGGACCTTGATGATGTTCAAAAGCAAAGCTGGCTCTGAAAGTGTGGTGCAGGGTTGTAAATAAGAAGTTCTAATAGATCTCTTTTAAAACAAATACTAATCTCGCCTTATAATAATATTGACCCATTATTACGATTGTTCATAATTAATTCTCTTTTCCCGTGTGTCGTGGTGCATGGGGCAAAGTGTCTCTCGATATTGCGTTTATACATGACGTCTCAAGTACGTCCCAAGATTTGGATTAAATATTGATTCTTTCATTTAAGTGTTTATGAATTCCGTAATTTCGGTATCATAAAATTTTGAAACTATGTTTTTTATGTCTATATAAGGCGTGATCAAAGAGATTTGCTAAAATATTATGTTCAATTAACCTCTTTGTACATGTGTTGTTGAAATCTTGTTTGCACTTCCGGATATAGACCGGCGTCTGGGGGCGAAACGGTTAGGCGCTTCACCGTCGCACACAGAAGACTTGAGTTCGACTCCCTGTGTATTTTCTGAGTACATGGTTGTGTGTGTGTTTATTTGTTTGTTTGTGTAGGTGTGTGTTTGTTATGTGCATGTATGCGCGCGCGCCGTGTGTGTGTGTGTGTGTGTGTATGTGTGTGTGTATGTGTGTGTATGTGTGTGTGTTTGTGTATGTGTATGTGTGTGTATGTGTGTATGTGTGTGTGTATGTGTGTGTATGTGTGTGTATATGTGTGTGTGTGTGTGTGTTTTCCATGTAGTGAAAAAGGACGTTCGCCCTAATCATAAAATGAAAACGCCTGCTTGCATTGAGGCTTCTCTAAATTTTTAGTAATCTTCTCAAACTAGTGTGCCTCATTTACTAATATAATCGAACAAACACACAAGAAATGTCCGTTTATTTTGTATGTATAATATATATTTTGTTTCTGACGTCACGCAGTGTATGGTACAACATCAACAACACAATCACTGTTTGGGTTCTTGTTCAACAAACACTTCATTCTTTTAAACAACAACAAAAAGTTCCAAGTCGCAAACTTTAACAGGGACTCAGCTGTTCACACAAAGATGGTGTTTTATCTTTTATATAAAGGTCTAGTTGAGATCTCTTTTAGAAATTTACTTAACCAGCAGGCACTTCCTGGGTCACTAACCTCTGTGGGGTCAACATCGAGGATGGTATAGCCATGGCATCATAAACGAAAGGTAACACTCGACCTTGTTTTGAGAAAAGAGACCTCAACTAGGCTTTAACTTAAATCGCTGTTTGATAGGACAATACCATATAAACCTATCTGCGAGAAAACCCTTAAACACATTGAATTTGTGAAATTAAATATTGCTTGATCAAAGTTTGTCAAAATTAGGGTTAACCAACTTTTCTGCTTATCTAAGCGGAAGTCAGAAGTATGTACATGGGCTCTACATATCATTACCTGAAGATATTCCTGAACATCAAATCCAACCTTCTCAAACATAACAGCGATGAAAACACACACTTATACTTATATAAATTAAAATTGGAGTGCACTTCATTCAAAAACAGCAACACCCTAGCGGTTCTGTAGTGAATCAGTAATGCTCACCACTGCTAAACACACACACACACACACACACACACACACAC